CGGTAAACAAATGACTAAAGATACCTTTAACTCCTTTATTAGAACATCATATCTCTCGGTGCGGCTGAGCAACATCCGGTGACGTAACATGGTTCGCTGAGTGAAAAATAAAGACAAATTAAATTAACCTTTTAAACATATAGTTCGAAAGTTCCAATTACATAAAACACGGGTAATATAAATTAGATTAGTTGGGCTTCTTTCACACAGTCTATTTTCTAAAAACAACGAATGTGCTATATCTTATTTTGTGTGCGACAGTTTAATGTGTTATTGTGTATGAGCTATATATTATTTTGTGTGAGACAGTTTAATGTGTTATTGTGTATGAGCTATATCTTATTTTGTGTGAGACAGTTTAATGTGTTATTGTGTGTGAGCTATATCTTATTTTGTGTGCGACAGTTTAATGTGTTATTGTGTATGAGCTATATCTTATTTTGTGTGCGACAGTTTAATGTGTTATTGTGTATGAGCTATATCTTATTTTGTGTGCGACAGTTTAATGTGTTATTGTGTATGAGCTATATCTTATTTTCTGTGAGACAGTTTAATGTGTTATTGTGTATGACAGTGATGTAAGGAAAGAGTTGTAAAGCGGGAGTACTTGGTTAGACATGCAGATTTTTACAATGAGAGGCTGAAAGGATAAGGAGCTGCTAAAAGCAGCTCCCGTGCTGCTAAAGGCAGCTTAATCAGAGGGTTATGGGGGAATGGCCCCCCAGAAAATTAATATAATAATATAATTTATAGTTGCTATATAAATCAAATATATAAAAGTAGAGGTGCCACAGCATCCCCATCAAACTCGGTTTCGACGCCTTTTTCTGGATAAATTTGATACTTTTAGCTATTTGCTTTATTTATGTTTTCAAAGCCTTATTTACCAGTTTTGTGACTTCATGATTACTTTTCTGGATTTTATTATTATTATTATTAAATATAATAGCAAAGTAAATTTATTCATAAAATATAATTTCAAATAACTGTTTTGGGAAAATCATATTTTATACACGATTTTAAACAGATCTTAGCATAAAATAAAATTGCATGCGTACGTCAGTATATACGTGTAACTTGTGTTTCTTTGTTGTTGTTTTTCTTAATCTCTCAGAGAAACCGACGATGCTCTTAGGCTGCTTATAAATTTGTGCAGGTGTTAGAAATAAAATTCATTATATTTATTTTCTAATTTTGCAAGAGTGGTACTCGAAACCTCGGAATAAATGAAACACATTATTACTTGAATACTACAATAATACAGGTTCGAGGACCTAGTTTACAGAAAGACAGTTGTAATTTCTTATTGTTGATTGAATGAGAGAGAGAGAGAGAAGACTGGAAGTAAAGATAGACAAAACAAACATTGGTACAAAAGAACACAGAGACAAACTCTGATGAGTAGCAGGTAAATGAATGAATGAAAATAAAATTTTTAGATTTAAGTAAAATGAGAAACAACTATATTTATTGAAAAGAAGTGTACTTGTTGAAAATATACTGTATCTCACCGAACTGAAATTGCGTTGGCAGATTGAATATTAAAGGTAATACATACGATTTGCAGAATTAAACCGAAGAACGAGAAAAGAGCGTAGAGAAAACTTCATAGGCTAGTACTAGTTCTTTGAAACTTATCTGTGTGAAAGTGCCCAATCTGCTCTCTAAATCCTCATTCTTGTGCTACAGCTGACCAATCACAAACTAGATCGCAAAAATCCTTAAGTATATTTTTCCAGATTTGGACCGTGGGGTCCAAACGCTGGAAGTGAAACTTTAACTTTCAGGTGATATTAATTCTAGCACCCTCACAAGGCCCAAGTCTGCTCTGTTTTATATGTGAGTCATAACGTAACCCCACCCCACCCCCTCATGGTGACGTTGGATAAAATAAAACTATCGAAGGAACCAGCTGATAGTACTATTGTTCCATTCATGCTATAAAAAGTAAGACGTAGGGCTAAGTTAGCACATTAACTGTTCTGAATTTTCCTGGTTTTCAACTATAATTTTCATAGAAACTAAAATTTTGGGTACTATATTATAAGAACTATAAGAGAATTGGATGTGCGATATCTGCATATCACACGTTGATAAATTTGATCACTTACCTTCCAATATAAAGAGTGTAGCCACTGTTCTCGCATGTAAGGGTTGTTGACCTTTAAAAAAGTATATAAATAACCTGTAATACTTTATTTACGTTAAACATTTACGAAACATCTTAACATCTTAAGTTGTAACATAAGAATTCGAACAGTCTGAGAAGAAAAAAATTAATTCGTATATGTATTATAACTTTTTTATTTGTGCCTTGATAAATAACTTGCCCCCCCCCCCCGCCGCCTCAGCAGTAAGTCTGTAGACTTATAAGGTTGAACATCAGGTTTTAATTCCTGTGTCGGGCAGAGCATATATAGCCTATTATATAACTTTGTGTTTAACAAAGACAAAGAATAGTGGGAAGTGTGTATCAGAACTACATTTTGACATTCTTTGGTGTTACCTAGGAAGCGTGATGCCACCGAAAATTGATCGTTTTAGCCTTTACGACGAAAATATTCATGTACTTGTAAAGATATGTTCAGATTGGCGACTTACACTTTCTAAGACGGGATATTCCTTGTAATCAATGACATTGGAAAACAAAGGAATATGTATCACCCAGAAAGAGACCTGCAACAAGTGACATCATAGCCGAAGTAAGCAAAATGCGACGTTTTGTAACAGGTGAGAATTATTGAGCGCAAAGTTCAGTGAAAAGCGTCCACGTGCCTCAGGCAACAATAGCAACATAATCAAGATTGATCTCTGTCTGGAAACGAGGCTAACAGGTAACGATTCCGGTCATGCCTTCCGTTCAACATTCGCATACCTCAAGCAGATGGAGAATGAAACAAATATTCTTGTTATTCCATACATACAAAGATATGTTGCTCAAGTCGCATATGAATTTCTGTCTAGTCAGACTGTTGAAACGGGTGTTGGGAAACCATTTTCCTTGTACACAACATGGTTAATGGAAAGGAGGCAATGTAATGCTTTGGAGATGACAGCCTTACGACGGGACCTTTTGAAATGGAAACTACATTGTAGGGATATTGCCAAGATGCACTGTCTCGTAGAGCATGATCGTACGTGGCGACTTGGACTGTAACGACCTTGTGAGGCTCCAAAATCGTTTTAACATAACGTACTCAACTCTCCATATTGTCATATTGAAATATACCGGAACACTAATTTATGTATCACTCTGTACGCTTAGAATGAAAGTTAAAATAACAAATTAGTAATTACAACTACATTATTCACACCATATCCGATCGTCAAATACATTAACATTCTGTACAAGGAGGCTACATGAACAATAATTTATGTATCACTTTGTACGCTTAGAATGAAAGTTAAAATAACAAATTAGTAATTACAACTACATTATTCACACCATATCCGATCGTCAAATAGATTAACATTCTGTACAAGGAGGCTACATGAACAATAATTTATGTATCACTTTGTACGCTTAGAATGAAAGTTAAAATAACAAATTAGTAATTACAACTACATTATTCACACCATATCCGATCGTCAAATAGATTAACATTCTGTACAAGGAGGTACATGAACAATAATTTGGCCACATTATCTCTCCTTTTTTATCTCTTGAAATTTTATATTTTGTTCTTATTTATTTTTTGTACCCTTTATGTTTGTTTGATTGTTAAACTTCACGCAAAGCTTTTCGAGGGCCATCTGCGTTAGCCGTCCCTAATTTTAAACTAATAAACTTGAAGGAAGGCAGCTATTAAACCCCATCCACCGCCAACCATTGGGCTACCATCTACTAATAATATTGGAATTAACCATTACATTATAACACCTCCATAACTGCAAAGGCAAGCATGTTCGCCGACGGGTTTGGATCCCACGACCCGCATATGGCGAGTCGATCTCCCTAATCCTTTTATGAAAGACCTATTCAAGCTTTGTGAGAGGTACATAAGTTAAACCACTTACATGTTCGGTATTTTGACTTTTTCACTATCACCTGATTTCCAGGCAACGACGACGCCTCCTCTTGTAACCTGTTTAGCCTTTTTATCACATCTGTATTTTGATGAATGTTGTTCAGCCCAAACTTAAACCACTCTTAATTTTAGTCTTCGTTCTTCGTTGTTTTAAAATTTACAAATAAAGTAACATGTCTTGCAAATTATCGTCTTTATTATCTGTTCATAAAAGAATACAGACTGAAAAACAATCTTTAAGATTATACCTCATGAGTTAGTTGCAATGGAAACCCAACTCGCATATATTGACGGTAAGCCCATAATAGTTACCATGGCTACAATCATGTAAACTTTTATGTATGAATCGTTCATTTACGTCATCATATAAAAAATTAGAAAGTTAAAAGTGCTTTATGTTCTGAACTATAGACTTTGCAGTAATACTTTCATAACGATATGCACGTGTTCTGCTCTATTTGATTCCACCAACAGGTTCTAATTACAACTGCTTTTTCTGCTCTTCCAGTGCTCTCTATGTAATATAACTTTTTTGGTTTTTCGTTATTAACCTTAACATGATATGCTCGTCTGAGCTAATTCATTTGAGATTTTAAAATAAAGTTCAAAGTTTTAAATAAGCAAAATAAAGGGAATTTATATTCTAGATTAAATTTAAGTCAAAATTATATTATTTTTGTTTTAATGTTCGCGTTTTGATTATTATTATTGAGAGCAATTAAAAATTCGAAAGATGATTTTTCTGTCTGATATACCAAATAACCCGTGACAATAAAAAAGAATGTTAAAATATCAATACTCGAACACCTTACTTCAGCCATATAAATATAACAGCACTGTCTGTAACTACTTCGCAGAGTGCGGATGGATCTTCACCAAAATTTGAATGGAAGTTCATTAGGTCCATGCAGTGGTACATACAAATTTTCAGTTTTGCATTTTGTGATTTGTATGGGCGTTTCTTATTACTACTTCGCTCCCTGTAGATGGAGCCTCACCAAATTTGGTACGGAGGTTCATTGGGTCCATGAAGAGATATATATACAAAATTTTCAGTTTTGAATTTTGCGGTTTTTATGGGCGTTTTTACCACTACTCTTTGTTGATCTTCACCAAATTTGGCATGAAGGTTTGTTGGGTCCATGAGAAGATACACGCAAACTTGAGTTTTCACATTTTGTGTTTTACAGTTTTTATGGGCGTTTTTTACAATTACATACAAGGGAAGCAACTTTTCATATCCTAAGATAATCATGAATTTACATAACCTCCGTCGAGGGGACGAGTACTCCAGGTAGTGTATATATATATATATATTGCTATTAATTTTATATTTTTTCGACTTTCCGAAACAAGTCTCTTCTAATTATAATTTTCCAGCTGTTTGAAAGTGTACGGATATCAATCTAACGTTCGTTAATTGATATTCCAAATCCCCTTTATGTTGTAAACCAATAAACATATGCATTACAATTTGTTTAAAACATATATATTTATTAAATAAATAAATAATTATAAACTGGCACTCATATACTGAGAACTATTGACACTATAAGAACAATGTTCCATATCCCGTGTTGCTCCTGGAACTACTTTCACCTTTGCCATTCATGTCCTCTTTAATGTCCATGATTATAAATCATTGGCCGACACTTTAATCTACATTGTAGCAAACTTTTGCGAAGGACAGTGAGGTTAAACTTAGACCATCTTGGGAAACTTTAAACAAATCATACACTGCACAATGACGTCGACTTTCCAAACAGCGTTTAAGTACATCAAATGCAAAAAAAGTCCACTGGAAGAGTCCATTAGTATAACAAGACCATTGTGATTCAATTGTTTTCAGTCATCTTTTTCTTGAAAACAGCCATTATTTCGAAATGTGGCAGAATGTCGTGAAGTTTTTGCTTGTGAGCCTTCCTCAAATTCAAATCTTTATTGTTTTATTAACGGCACCCGGAAATATTCCAAACTTTATCGTGATGGCTTTTTGTGTAGGAGGATTCTTTTTCGTAATCATAACCATCAGTTTGCGTATAAGAGCATTTCCCATGTTGGCTTGGGGTAGAGTTTCGGAACCCATTGCTAACAACACCATTCTTTTTGAATTTTTCAGCTTTTGGAAAATATTCAAATGTCCTCTTCTTCAAATGTTATGTTGTTTATTTCTGGATTATTTAGCCATGTCGATGTACGAATATTATTTCTCGGGGCTCTAGCATAGTTATCAAGTACACAAATTACGCATGGTAGAATTGGACTATTGATTAGTTCGGTGATCGTGTGAAAAACTAAACTAGTATACAAATGTGAAACATGTCGACCATGGCGCTACCTCTCGTACCACCTACATTGGTATATGTAAATTGTTGTTACAATTGTAGTGTTTTTAACCTGATGGAATTCTACATATTCCTCTTATATACATATATATATATACTGCATAGTGATAACTTTCCTAACACATCGTTTATTGTCATATAAGAAATACCCGCATACTCATGCATATATAAAACCTAAACCATCTTCCACCATCGATTACATTAAAATAAGTTAATTTTATCACGTGTCATTGGAAACTTTATCAGCTTATGAAAGCTTCAACATATGGAGGTGAACATCTCTTACCTGTACTACAATAGAACCTTCTGGAATCACTAATCTAATGCATATCTTCCGCGAAGACGTCCAGTTGGGAAGACAATAGATCTCCTCAATCTGGGAGTAAAAAATGGGATTTTCCATAAAACCGCTAGGCTGTAAAACATAAGGTGAAACCGTTTAGCACACACACACATATGTATTTTACAAAGGCAGAGATAATTGTTTATAGGAACAAGGAACTCTGTTTGAATAACTTATATCGGAATAGGTAAGATATATTTACACAAAAACATAAAAAACTGTTTATATAACGTTGTAAACCTATTTTATTGAACAGGAGATTTTTTCGTCAGAGAGAGAAAAGTATTGAATTCATAAAAAATAACTTAGAAAAGAATAATGAGCATTGATTTCTTGGTAATCAACAACACAATTATCTAATAATGAATATTTTTGTTCCATTTTAATTTATTAAAAATCTGTCTTCGAAACCAAAGATAGGTGGAGAAATAATAGTTTAGGTACTTCTCCCCTGCCTTCCTCAGTGGACGCAGTTTATTTATTGTTCGACATATCAAACGAAGTAAACGTATTATTGCAGCCACGGGATGCGAATCAGGAACCCGGTGCTTAGTAGTCCGGCACTCTAGCCACCAGACCACACAATTTTTACTATTGATGTGTAACTTTTGATGCACGAAAAATAAATTCATCATTCTTGCCATTCAAAATTCTATGAAACTCTTGCATAATTTATCATTCTATGTATTATTTACAACATTTTAATATAGCTTGGTTATATCGTTATACCATTAATACCACAATTTCTCAATTCGAAATAATGTTTTTTAAACGAGTTTTCATTAAAACCATAATTAAATGTACAATATAAGTAGTGTAACATTGCGGAATCAGTGATTTCAAGTCGTCATCAACTTCATGGTATTTTATATTGAACTTCACAAGATATAACTCACAGATAATTATTTAGATGTTACACTTCTCATGCGAAAGTAAACAAGAGTTATGCATTTAGAAGAATTGGAGAACCTTATATCAATTTCTGGAGCCGATTTTGGCCTCAAAATACTGTACTTACGAAAGCCATTATTTACATCTAATCCATATATTCCATATATATATATATATATATATAATATTGTTTTTATTTTAACCCAAGTTTCGCCTTTGGAGCTTCATCAGAGTTAATATATACAGTTGATGAAGCCACAAATGTGAAGCATTGGTTAGAATATTAAAAAAATGCTTGTATATACAACTGGAGTATAAAGGTAGTTTTTCTAAACTTTTATCAAAATATGTAAATCTCTCCAGTATGCTCTATAAATTTTGAAAGACAACAAACAATTTACATCTAACTTATACAAAAGCCATTATGTGTCACGTCACGTCTGATTTCTCCAAATAGGGGAGTCATAAAAGCCAAAATGCAGTTATCCAGATAGAATAGTTCGATTACTGTCTTCCCATTACGATTTTAGTGACGAGGTGTAAGGGGGCCGTGATACCTTATAAGTGTAGTGAGTATTTGTATAATAAGACTAAAGTAAAGACAGTGTGGGATCACCTTGCCTAGAAAATGTTTTCGTTTACGGATTTACTGTTCAGTTAGTGATACCTGAAGAAGGGCATTGCCTGAATCGTTGTATCCACAATTATATATATTAATATATATTTATATATATATATTAACTCCTTAGTGGTTTGACCTGTGACATACTTCTTTTCATTTTTTCAACAACCACTACGTGTAATTTCCTACACAATTTTAACAACAATATTAGGTTATACTTTTGTTGCTACGCAACATGATATAACAGCTATTATTGGAACGTATTGTTACCAAAACGCACTACTTTTTCTATATATTACAAGTTGTTGATCTAACTGATTACAATTCTTCCTGTTATTCGTGAAACCCATACAATGGCACGGTGTATGTTATAACCTGGTAGCATAACCTTAATGCCCTAATGGTTTATACATTTGATATTGCTAGATGTTGATGCAACTGGAGGAGGTGGGGGTGGTAATACTTTCCAAGCCATTTTTGACGGGCTATACGCTAGTGATTTTATAAACAAAACGTTATATTAATTTATTACACAAAACCGCTGCAGTAGTGATTTCAAGTGTGTTAAAAAGTGCAAAGTTTGTTCATCTGAACGATACTGCTTGTTTTGTTTGTATTTAAGCACAAAGCTACACGATGGGCTATCTGTGCTCTGCCCACAACTGGTATCTGAACGATACCTTATGCACAAAGTGAACTAACCAATCATGCCAGTGGCCTTTATAGTGCAGGTATAACCATCCCTTATTCTGAGATACTGGCTAGAAAGAAGGCAACCAGTCAACAACATCCGCCGCCTAAAATGACTATTTTAACTTAAAGGAGGGACAATGAGACTCATTGTCCCTCTTATAACGCACCCACAGTTGAAAGTGCGAAGTGCGTTTTGTAGTACCACGTGTTGAATAAGGTTCTCAGTTCCCCAGTTCGATATACTTACCATTAAGTCACGCTTGAGCCCAGTTTTTAGGAATGTTTCGAATGGTGATCATGAAACATGATACAACGTTACCTAGTAATTTCAGACTAACTTATCCAAGATTTGGAATTTTAAATTACGGACTTAAAAAGTCGATTTGGACAAAATAAATATTTGTTAAAAGAGACAAGTGGAGTGCCAATTAACAATGGTATCTTTGATATTTTTAACCAGTATTTTTTAACTGTTTTCGGATGTTAAAAAAATAACAGAAAACTCAAACTCTATGACCGAATTTCACCAACAACATGCAAACAAACAACACAGCATGTGTTTATAAATAAATTAAGGATAACTCTCCCTATCTACTGAGCAGGGGCAACGACATGTTATTCTTTGGCGAAAACATCAAATGGCAGCTTGGTATATAAAATAACGATACTAATTTGTATCTTCTGTGACTATTTAACTTAGCTTTCAAATCATGACGTCACCGGTTCGGAACTCTAGTGCTTTCAAACAAAAAAAATATCTAACATATTGCGTGACAGTAACAACACGAGCCTTATGAACAAATGACATAGGCAGCACTAGCAAAAATTAGAACCTACATAAATTATTTTTTCTACTCTGTACTTCCACAGCTTAAGAAATATGTCGTATGGAATTAGTTACAAGACAAGTTATCTTAACAATTACTGCTTGCTGGTTATTGACGAAACAAGAAGAAAAATTGGAAAGTTGTTTGTCGAGTTCGCTGAACAAAGTAAAACGCGCGTAATGTGTTGAAGTTGATATTGACAAAAATTAATCAGTCCAACTGTATAATTGTTTTACTTAATCAATTATGTATACGACTAATATTAAGAATGAAATGATTCTACTTTGTGTTTATCTCTCTTGGTTAGGAAAGTGTTGGAACCAGCTAGTTTCAGTGAACGTAATACCACTGATCAGAATAGTTAAGATTACAACATTTGTTTGGTTTGGTTTGAATTTCATGCAAAACTACACGAGGGCTATCTGCACTAGCCGTCCCTACGTTATCAGTAAAAGACTAAAGGCAAGGCAGCTAGTCATCACCACCCACTGCTAACTTTTGGGATACTCTTTTACTATCAAGTAGTGGGATTGACCGTCACCTTATAAATCCCTCCACGACTAAAAGGGCGAGCATCTTTGGTGCGACGGCGATTCGAACCCGTAGATTACGAGTCGAGAGCCCTAACCACTTGGCTTTGCAAAACCTTTTGCAAACTGGTTCTAGTATCAGAAGATATTAAAATACCGCTCTTAGCTGGTGTACAGTCTAAATTGGTAGTAATTTTATTATAGACTTAACATTTGTTTCTTGTTTTAGGTGATTATTCAAAGTTTCTGTTTTGGAGGTAGCTAACTTCCCATCACGAGGACGAAATTCAATGCTATAAGGAAACTAAGAGATGTTCTCGTTGACTGCAACCATAATCTCGGGATATAAATAACGATAATATCACTTTGTACATATAGACATCCTGTTCCGAACCTGCTGTGCCAAGTTAATCTCAGCCGACATATTTATGAGATCAAACAGAACTGCTTTAATACATACCCTCCGTGATGACGTCAGTAATATTATTTCTCCTACCCTAGATTTCCGTTATGCCATCTGCTATATCATACACAAGTTCTAGTCATCCCTGGTTAGTCATCCCGCGGCAATATCGATTGGCTAACAAGAGAGCGCCACCACAGTAATAGCATTTGGTATGCACATTGAACTGGTTTATGGCGGTAGGAACGAATTATTTAAGAAGCGCATGAAATAAAATCATACATTAATACTTTGCTGAGGTTTATATGATATAGTGAAGTATACAGACTGCGCATGCGTGGTATAATGGAATTCTAATTTGAATTCGCGTTTTCCTGTCCTATGTGACATACACCTTATCATAAGACATCAACTCAACGTTTCGGAGTTAGTGTATACAACATATCATAGCTTTGAAATACATGACATATACACCCAGGTTTTTTATTATAGATGAATAGTGAGTGGTAGGTCATAGCCAGCTCTGAAAAATGCGTGTGGTAGAGGTGTATTTATGAATTTTCATATTTCTCTATAACCACATGAAAATTACCGGTACTTGTTACAAGTTACAACAACTTTTACATCTGAAGTACGACCAAGTTCTAAAATTCTCCAGTTAGCTGATAACTGAATTGCTAGTTGAGATAAGCCTATCTAAACATTAATTTATCATGTTCGAACTGAAAACTTTAACAAAACGTACTTAAACTTTACTATGGACGATGTTATCTCAACATGAAGTTTAACTCCCACCCTAGTGGTTCAGAGGTAAGTTTGAAGACTTATAACGCTATAAACTATATTTTGAGACCCGTGGTGGGCACAGCACAAACATTCCATTGTGTAGCTTTGTGTTTAACGACAAGAAAACAAACATACATTGATACGTGAACATACTTCACACACAACACATGTATACATAGTTACGTAAACATATTTCACACACAACACACACATACATATACACATAGATACGTGAACTTTCATCTCACACAACACATGTATACATAGTTACGTGAGCATACTTTACGCACAACACATATATAGATAGTTACGTGAACATA